AGTGACCCACATTGGGAACTGTGCCTTTCAGGGTTGCAGCTCTTTGGTTGACGTGACCATCCCGGACTCAGTGACCCACATTGGGAATGGCGCCTTCGCATTTTGCAGCTCTTTGGTTGACGTGACCATCCCGGACTCGGTGACCTACATCGGAGGTGATGCCTTTGAGGGGTGTCCATCTCTGGAATCAAGTTCTGAATGCGCACGCTACACATCGCTACACAGCTGCCCTCTCAATATAGCCAGAAAGTGACACTGTCAGGAATGCGAGTACGGCTGGTTTCTGGAAGGCTGGGTTTGTCCCCAACAATGGTGTCATCGCTAGGCCCTAGGCGTCACTGGCGCTGGCTTGCAGAGGCCTGGTCAAGAAAATCATGGACACTGCGTCAGCAGTAGGGCAAAAGTCAAAGTCGGTAAAGCGGGCTTTGCAAAAAACAATGACATGTTATTGATAGAACTATAATGTTGTTTGACTTCCAAGTTGCAGAAGACCTGTGCGTTGCAGAAGATCAACCCTAGGCCCCAGGCTTTAGAAAGCATCATCGAAACATCATTTGATTTAGATTTAAGAGCCTGAATCCCGCACAACAAATAGAAACCATGTTCGCTACTAGGAACCAGTGCATCGCCTTTTCGTTCGTCACAAGTGCCAAAAACCGTTCGTTTTTTAAGAAACGAAGCGAACGTAGGAAAGGAACCATTTGGTTTCACCTCCAAGAGAGGTCGAGAGGTCGCTTCACGTTCGGACCCAGGGATCCTGTGGTACATATGGGATGAGCGACCTTGGGGCTCTTCAACCTCTCTACCAGCAGTCACAAGACGGGGTGCGATCCATGGAGGTTAGGGGTGCCCATGATCCACTCCACAGCCCCTGGATGGGACGAGCCACACCACCCCTTTGTCCTTTGTGACTGCTGGTATAGGCTCTTTCGGATGTTCCACGGATGTTCCACGAGGGTCGGGACGGGGAACACGGCCGGATGGGACTGTTTTTTTGTTGGGTTTTCTGGTGCCCGGAGAGGTCCCGGCGCACCCGATGCGTTCAGGAGATGGGGCCCTTCGCCATGTTCAGCAAGTGGAACATGTTTAAAAGTAGGCATGTTCCATCTCAATCGTTGGTCCTCATACCAGCCTGAAGAGGCCCCCCATGAAAGCGATCGGTCGACTCGTATCGGTCGACTCGATACAAGCTGCGAGGCTACCTTGCTCGGTCCCCATAGCCAACCCAAACACTCCAGTCCTGCCAACGAGGGTCGACTTGGCGGTGTGTATATATATACGAGTTCATCATCCAGACGCAACGCGACATGTCGAGCCTTCATCATTGATTGACGAATAGATCCCAAACCATGAAACTGTACGCAACCAAGCCTTTAGAGAACGTCGATTGGCATCCATATGCAAGGTTTTATTTCCGGCCTAGTGGACCTCCTGAAAACCCGCCGCTAAACCATCCAAGAATTCTAAAGGGATTAACCATCCAAGGATATGTATTCACATGAGTTTCTCAATTATTCTGCATGACCCTCGTGGCTGCGACGCAGGCGTTGTGAGGCAGATGAGGGGCCAGATCAACCAGCACAGGAGACAATTGCGGTGGCGGTGTGAAGGAAAAGAGTCAAACTACTGCAACGGCCTCCAGGCCTCCAACCTACTAGCAAAACAGTCAAACTTGGACCTTCTTTCGGGGTGTGAAAGATTGAGATTAAGCAGCCAGGTGAACCTGAGTTCCTGAAGGTGCTATTCTAGGAAGTTCTTGGTTGTTTTCATGGCTTCAATCAGAAGCAGAACATACATTGCATCCGGGTAATCAGTCTGACCCCAGGCAAAACGGTTTCCCCACTCAAAACGAACGTCGGTGGCGTATTCGGGTGCCTTTGTCGTTCGAACCTTTGAGCCTTTGGTCGCTCGGGGGGGGGCCCAGGCAGGGCGAAGGCCTCCTGAGTGAAGGTCAATCAAGATCAGCCTCGTCTGAGATCCACCTGTAGGCCTTGATCACTTGGATGTTGGGCCGGGTTCCGCACTTGGATGGAAATTCAGACTTGGGAGTGAAGCACAGACTGCTCCGCACGAACGAGTGAAGGTCCACACTTGGGGGTTCCGTACTTGGGGGAAAGGGTTTTGGATGAAGGAATTCAACAGATTTCCACCACATATCCACTGCCATCCACTCCCTGAACTCATGGGAGTGGCATGGCGGCCCCGAAGGCGATTGCGGATGACCAAATCAATCAGACCCAACAGCATCAACAGCGCTGCCGCAGTGATCCATGAGGACCTTTCAGTGAGTGTATCCACACAATTATACACATCACTTCAAATCTGAAGTGATCCGTTCTAAGCGGCTCTTCGCGGTCTTCGCGCTCTTTGTGGCAGCTCCAGGAGGTGCAGGGCGCGCGTGCGGGCCGATGCTTGTACAACGGCAATTTGGGCCGCTTGGACACGAAAACACTGGGAAGGCTTTCTGAAGAGGAAGAATCCGCACAGGCCCGACCGGCATTGGGTGGGATTGTTCATTATTTTTCAGATAGCAGAGGTCTGGACCCTGGAAAAAGATCCTTACCTAGCACTTCCTGTTTGGGTGCCCTGTCTGGAGACCTGTTTACGTAAGGTAGGGTAGTCTAGCCAGGACACCTTAAACAGAGGATGATCCTGGCAAGTGATTGTTGGGCGGATTCTTCCTTCGTGGGGGGTAGATGAAGGGAGTCACCTGCCTGTCATCTTTTGAACAGACCTGGACCCGACTTCTTTAGAAAATGGGACATGACCCCATAAAAACAGGTACAAGACTACCCATTTTCCGAGGTACGAACGGGTCGACTCCAGGGATTGGGGCACAGATCGCCTCTCATCCCATTCGAACCGAACAGGCGGACCCTTGGACCGCTGGGTCCGTTTGGTCCGCCTGACGGACGAGACGAGGGAGATACCGAGGTGTGACTGCCTGCCGGTCCATGTGAGCTGCTACATTCGCCGCACTCCATGACTAATTCATATGGCCAAAATACTGTAAGTGCATTGCTCAAAGTTAAGACTACAGTTGGACTACTCCAGCATTGTAAGTGCTCGGAGGTGGGAGGTAGGGAGATGTAGGGGTGCCAGGAAGGGACACGTGTCCATCCCTGATGTCCAATGGTACATGTACTTGCTGACGATGTTGTAGCAATCGAAGTGAAGGTTTGTCCTTCTATGAAAGGGAACCAGATGCCATAGTCTCTCAAGACACACACTCCGAAGTGGATGGCATGGTCCCTTGGATGCCCATGTTTTAATGAACAAACAGGTTGCGCCATCCACTTTCATGATTATTTCGATATTTTCTTTGAGGGGTTCACAAGTCTCAGTTTGTCGCCGTCAGGTATACGGGTTGTCTCAGTCGAAAAACAGCTGGTGCATGCTGGTGCCTTATCTCGGACCATGCTTCTGTACTCTCCAAGCACCAAAACCTTTCCCCTGATCCAGAGACACTATACCATATCTAGGGTTTTTGGTCACGATGCGCGTCCGAAGCATCCCAATATCATGAGGCTTCGACCAAATTTATGTTGTGGGTCGGTTACGCTGGTTCCTTTAGCTCGTAAAGGGCAAGGGGAGCCGACTATGTCCATCCACAATAGGTTCCTATATGTTCCTATGTAGATTTTTCCCATTGCTCACATGAACATCCCCAAAAGATAGTCCCACAAGAATAGCAATTAGGGGACTATGATCTCCACAGGAAGCATGAGCATCAATGCATACCACCAACGAGTAAACGCGCGTGTCCTGTGCTCAATTGCCATTCATGAGGAAAGCTTCACCCAATGTTGGAGTCAATCATCCCCATCAAGATACTCAGATACTCACTTTTCGACAAAGGACCATTCAACAACATGTTGGTCGGGTACGCCGCCACCTTCTTTGTGCCGAAGAAAGCCCCAACAAAACCACACGGACCGTTGTTCCCCAGACACGACCAATGGGACTGCCATAGTTCTGCCGCCCCAGAAAGACCCCTCAAACGCACCACCCTGGCCGTTTCTCGGCAGTCCGGACTGGCAGTCCCAGACACTCCATGTATGCCATATATGCCTACATTGACCCCTCTGGCACCACCCCTGGCCTGATCGGCAGTCCTATGGCAGTCCCAGACGGGTCGTGTCTGGGGTGGACTTCGATGTTCGACCTGTGCGCTGTTCCAAGGGACTCGCTTGGACGACGTTGAAAGGACCAACGTCTGGGACTGCCGAGAAACGGACTGCCGAGGAACTCACGGCCAGGGGTGGTGGTGCGTGCCAGAGGGGTCTGGGTTATGGACTTTATTGGATTGAATTCACGCCTCGACCTGCTCGTCCAAGGTCTCGGCCTGCGGACACCTCGACGGAACCCACGGACGAGACAACTGGCACCGTTCTGAGGCCGTTTTCCTTTGGCCTGTGGCGCCTCTCATGTGGGGACGCGGCGCTTGTGTGTGTGCCGCACCGGCGAGGATTGCAGAGCCACGCGTGCGTCTTCGGCGTGTTGCGGGGCAGGGCAGGGCAGGAGAAGGAGGATGCAGGTGGATTTGGGGGCAATCCAACTGCTAAGTGGCCCATTTATGGGAAACAACAGCTTTGGGGTCTGAAACAAGAATGGGGGAGTCTCAGGACCTGCAGGGCAGCCAGTAGAAGGAAGCTTTGGGAATGGGGGATCCTCCTGAGGTGCAGCTGTATGCAATTACAGTACATGGTTGTGCTCTAAGTGATGTCAATGGTGTTTCAGAAGTATCTTTGGAACGTTGCTTGGATGAATGCCAAGCAGAATGGTTGTATGTTGAACAGTTTATTTTACAGAATGTGTTTTGTTTGATTCATTCGAGTCATGTGAGCCATGTGGTTGAACAATAACAATGAAAGTTCTTCTTTCAGCGATATAGCTGGGATGCTTTACTACCTGAGAGTCATGTTCGTTGTAAGACTAGAAGACTCAAAATGAGGGACTCCTTAAATCCTCAAACACATGATTGTTTGTTTGGTTGCATAAAGCTTAGCATCCTGATGTCCACCCAAACCTGGCTATGTTGCTCAACTTGGCTAAGTGGGTCTAGGGCCTAGGGAAAACGTGTGTGTGTTGACGCACAAATGTCATACTCAACTGAGTGCCTGAAACGGACTGCTCTATGGACCTATTTCAACGTAATATGGATCTGTATACATCTTAGATGATCTTACCAGGGGTCACAAAGGGGTGGTGTTTGGTTCCTAAGTGAGTGGATAATGGGCGGTATAGACTTCTTTTGCGGAATCATTTGAGCTCACAGCTGCGACTTTCGCACCGGATTGCACACCGGCATGTCGGCGATTCGCATGCGCGTTCCGCTGGTCTCCGCGCTCGCGGATCGCACCAGGTCGCGAGCGCATCGCTTTGGCCGCCGTCGCGCAGACCACGGAGGCCATACACGGAAAAGACCTGTGGTGTTTTCCATTGGGCTCGGCTCGGGGTGGGTTTTGGATGGTGGTTGTTGTTTTTGCGTATATGTAACGTACAACTATATAGGTATATGGGCAAAGGAAAGGCTACATTAATTGGAGAGGAAGCTGATCCAAAAAGCAGACAGAAGACCAGACAAGAGAACAGAAAAGAACAATACAGTTCAGTGGGGGGTGAATGGCAAGATGAGCACAAATTAATGTGGATCGATGTCATTTCATCGTCCATGTCATTTCATGTCATGTCATTCCTCCATTTCAGAAACTGGATACCCTTCCTCCAACAATCCATGCAAGCCGACCACGACCCCCAGGCCATGCACGACATGGAAGACTCCACAGGCCATGCCATCCACTTCCATGATTGTCAGAGAGTGTTTCCTCCATCGGACAAGCACCAAACGGATGCAGACAACTGACCCCCTAAGGATCCAAGTACCCTCTGAGGTTCGGTGTTTGGGGTGGGTGCCAGGAGGGTCCAGTCGTACCTGTTGAGGAGGCACGACTGGATCCCTAGGGTGTTTGGATCGCATGATCGCGTGGGATCGGACGACCGAGGCTACGAGCACTGAAAGGCCCAAAGCACCGGTGCTCGAGGCTACGGAGCGGCTGCGCACATCGCGTGCGTTAAGTGGCGGAGCGGTCACAGCACGGCGAGTGGCACGGCGCAGTGAGGAGAACAGGTTTGTGCTTGGCCGGCCGCCGGCCTTGGTGCCATGCATGTGTGCTTGAGCCAGCCATATATACCAACAGAGGTGGGTCAGGACCCGAACGTTCGCCTATCCCAGTTCGGTACCCCTGGTTACGGGTCCTAGTTCAGGTCACTGGCTACCTCTCTTGGTATATATAGAGAGAAGAGATTGAGAAACACCTTTTGGCTGTGGCACCCACAAACCCGACCCCCGGGTCATGGCTGAACAGCTTCGTAAGGGACGTCAACAGAAGGCGTGAGGGGAGGTTGCGTTCCTCACAGCCCTGGAAGTCAAAGACCATGTTGAAAATGGTTGATCTGGTTTTGTAGTGTCAAGCCCTTAGTGAAACAATGGTTGTTCCGTAAAGGCTACTTCTAGGGTATGTATACAGTATATTATATAACCGCAGAGGGCCTACACGATCCATATTCCAGACGCGACCAGTCTGGGACTGCCATATATGCCGATCAGTTGGGGTGGTGCCAGGGGGGTCTTTCTGGAGCGTCTGGGTATGGGAACTGGGTTTCAAACCCCTGCAATTTCGATGAAACCTGAGCCACATTGGCATGGCTTCTGCATGGAAACCTGATCATTTGCCATGTATCGCAACAGTATCCCAAGACACCACCGGACACCCCAATGAAGGATAATGTAGGCGTATATGCCACCTCTCCAACTTGTGCACCTGGCATCCATGGAATTTGCTGCGTTTGTAGTAATGAGGTGTGCAGGCGTCCAATAAGCGAGATCCTCCCAACACTCCGGCAACCACGGATGAAAGAAACTGATGGCTTGCAGCAAGTCTAGACGACAGAGGCCCCACGTCTGTTGGGACCTACGTGTCGACCGACTCATAGCGCCACTGGGATGCCCCAAGTGTGTGTGGTTTTTAACAGTCGGCAGACCAAACTGAAAGTAACAAATAGACGCACATGTCACACGACTTATTAAAGTAAGTTATGCATACCTTGTGTGTCTTCAGATTCGTCAAGGTGCATCTCCACCCGATTCAAGACAAGCTGAAGAAGATCTTCCAACAGGTTTTTGTTTGCACATATAACCTTAAATAGGCACCCCTTAACTTTTAAGAGGCTATTTATAGACACCTCATGGAGGGTGCTGGTACATATATACCCAATATGATGGCATTCCCACTTCGGGCGCCTTTTGGTCCGATCGATCTGGTCACTCACGTTGATAACGGTCAGCCAACGAAGGAGACGCGTCATTACCTTGAGACCTCGTACGGATGGTACCCTTTTTGGGGGTTCTTGGTTCAACATGGGACCTCTTGGATGGTGGATGCTTTCGGCCCGGGGCGTGGGGCGAAAATTTGGAGAAGCAAGAGTGGGGTTCACCCCACTGGCCTACGAGGAAGTTTTCGGAGGATGCCCAAGACCAGCTTTGGCACAGCTGATGATTCTACCTTAGGGTTTGATGGATTTACCCTTACTCCTTGGTTTAGAAGGGATTTCCACTAAAGGTTGAAGCCTTAAAGCAAAGGACCTATGGACATGCCAAGTACCTGTTTTACCTCCTCTATATATAGTATAAGATATATATAAGCAGTCCTTTTTCACCAACGACCTGCCCTTTCCACTGGTTCGCGTGACATGACATCGCAATGTCAGGCGCCCGTCACCGCTCCCCCCGCGCTGGATGCGTTGCTGCCGCAGAACTTGGCGGTGCTGGTGGGGGTGTCCCCAGAGGAAGTCGCGAAAACTGGGGAGGAAGGCAGAACCCAACACCCTAGGCCTCCAGTCGTACCTTCGTTTCGAAGGTGTGTGGGGAGGGTCCAGTCATACCTTCTGAGGAGGTACGACTGGAGGTGTAGGGACAATGAAGGCCAGGCTATAGTTGGTATAGGAGAAGGGGTTGAACTTGTTGGGAGTGGGGCTGACCTAATTTTTGAGTGCTATTTCATTAATATGAGGGGGGTTCTTTTGACTGTTTACACCAGTTAAATCACTTGTCATATCTTGGGGGCATCCCACGTCTCTCGACTCATCTCTTCCACCTTTGACAGCTCGGCATCACTTGGAGGGGATGACTTGCTGACCACATGCACATGTCCCATCCATTGCTTGAAGTCGGAGTATATATCAATGCATCAATTCCTTAAACCATTGCTTGGAGACCGAAAGGAAGAGTGGCACGATTGCCACTTCCCTTTCAGAATCCACTTCCCTGTCCTGAGAAGAGTGGCACTAGTGGTGTAGTAGACCTAGCCGAGCCAGGGATGCCCTACTGTAGACCTAGCCAGGGATGCCCTACTGTAGCCCTAGCCTTCTAATCATGGTTGACCTGGTGTCTTGAGGTCCTTCTCAGTTCCTTCTCAGCCGGGGTGGCGAGGGTCGATGCAGTCGTGAGGTCCACAGACCCCTCCAGTCCTCCAGACCTGGGAAGCTCACACCTGATCCCGATCCGAGCCTTCCGGCCTTCCGGCCCCACCAACCAGGAGTCGACTGAGGAGTGGACGGAGTCGGCTCGGTGGTTGGATGTTGAAGGAACCCCAGGGCATCCGTCGGCAGTTCCCACGAGAGCTCGCTGGGAGTCCCAGAGGTTCCAGTTCGACTCAAACCGACTTCGAATCCCGGCCTGGTTCCTATGGTTTGCCCAGACGCTCATGGACCCTCCTAAGTAGGGGTCCGGACCCTCAAATCCCTAGGGTTTTGAGGGACCAAGAGCTGTTTGGAGCGTCTGGGTCCACTGCAGAATCGCACCCCGAATCGATCACCTCTACCAGGACCCTCCGAACTCGAGGTGTCTGTTGTTTCCATCGCAAGGATCGGAGGTGAGGAACGAGGTGTCACGTACCGTTGGACACCAGTTTCAGAGTCGGTCGGTCGGTCGGGTCGCTTCCTGGGTTCGTTCCACTGGTCGGCGGTGTCGGCTGTGCCATCGCCGGGTCGACGGCTGTGACAGTGAAACAACCACGACGCAACGACACGCCTCATTCCCAAGCGAGTAACGCTCGCAAAGCCAAGAAGAAGGCCCAAGTGCCGACATGACATGAGACGCATATAGTATAGTAGTCAGCTTAAATCCAATTTGTGAAAACCTTTGAGTCATGGCGAAGAGAATTTCAGCGGTCCAGCCCAGTGGCGAAATCCTGGTTCTTGAAGTCACGCCTGAGGCAACAGGCAAGGAGCTCAAGCAGCAGATCAAGAATCGAAAGTTTTGGGATGAGCTTACTCGTAACACTACGGGTGTGGAGATCATTGTCAGAGACAACCAATTGCTGGCCAATGATGCAGAGGTATACGAAGCTGGAATTGCTGAAGATCCAGTTGTGAGTATTGTTTTCAAGCCAAACGTTGTGATATGCTCCAACAAAAAACAGATCGCCAGTCTTGGTGGCATCCTTGACCCAGACCTATTGCTTGTGGTCGAAATTCCCAACGATGAAACCCAAATTAATGAAAGCGCTTTCGAAGGTTGCGACACATTGGCCAAGCTGACCATCCCGAACTCGGTGACCCATATTGGCAATGATGCCTTTCGTGATTGCACATCTTTGGCAAACTTGACCATCCCTGACTCGGTGACCCACATTGGGAATGGTGCCTTTCAGGGTTGCAGCTCTTTGGCGAACTTGACTATCCCGGACTCGGTGACCCACATTGGGGATGATGCCTTTCGTGATTGCACATCTTTGGCAAACTTGACCATCCCACACTCGGTCACCCACATTATTTTCAGGGTTGCAGCTCTTTGGCAAACTTGACCATGCCGGACTCGGTGACCCACATTGGGGATGGTGTCTTTTCTGATTGCAGCGCCTTGGCAAAAACTTGACCATCCCTGACTCGGTGACCCACATTAGGGCTGAAGCCTTTTCTGGTTGCAGCGCCTTGGCAAACTTGACCATCCCAGATTCGGTGACCCACATTTGGCATAGTGCCTTTCGTGATTGCAGATCTTTGGCAAGCTTGACCATCCCGCACTCAGTGACCCACATTGGCAATGATGCCTTTAAGTATTGCAGCTGTTTGGCGACCTTGACCATCCCAGACTCAGTGACTGACATTGGGAATAGTGCCTTTCAGGGTTGCAGCTCTTTGGCAAACTTGACCATTCCGAACTCAGTGACCAACATTCGAGAATGTGCCTTTGCGGGTTGCAGCTCTTTGGTCAACTTGAGCATCCCAAACTCAGTGACGCGCATTGAG